ACTTCTACCCGAATGCTGTAGATGTAGAAGAATGAATAAATTTTCACAATGATGCATTCGAAGTCAACAGGGAGACAATCTGCGGCTGTTTTGATAGCATTATGAATTATATGGGCTCCACACACAATCCCAATGAGCTGCCTTCCGACGGATAGGTTCAATTTCGCGTAAACATTATTTATCCCTTTTCTATTCTTTCCTCCGAAATTGCAGTTTGTATTGTCTGCACAAAATGCCACAATTTTCTTATTCAAATCATTGCAAGATAATACTTCTTTCAAATAATCCACAATTATATCGGATGATTCGCCTGGCTGCTTTTGAAACTCTAAAATCCTGACTCTCACGCCTTCGTATGGTACAAAATAGCGAACTAAAACAGGGAATAATTTTATTGAGCCATGATTGGAAGCATCGGTTAATAAAGATATGCAGTGGGCTTCGTGAAGGTGTTCTTTCAATTCGTCCATCGCCATAGGTGCCAGCACATTTACAACTATAGCTTGTGATTTTGTACGGGCACATCTAAATTTTTGCTCAAAACATGTTTGTATTAGATTTGAAGCACAGTCATTCGAACGAATACTGTGGTTTTCTTGCACTGTGTGGTACGCCCACGCACCCTCCGCTGCAGCTATATCCAAGTCTTTGGAAGTCGCCAAATTTGTTCTTTTAAAAAAAGAAAGCATTGACGAGCTTGAAGCGGCAGCTTGATCAGAAAGCTTGTGTTTTTCCGATTTTAAATGCTTCTCAATGTCACTGGCACCACCATGTCCAACACTAAAATCAGTACGACATTTTTCACACGTAACGTCTGATTCACCACTTCTTTGTTTTATAAATGGATACTTATTTTGCAAAGAAATGTTAAAAGTTTAGGCATTATTGTAATGTTACAATCACTAACATTGAAAATAAATTGTTTGACTTTGCTCGCCTTCTCCGACTCCGCGATGAAAAGATACCAGAACAATTTAGAGCGTCTATGCTTAGGGTACTGACAGAGTGACAGAAACTTTTTCTGTTTTTATAAGCATTTTAATTTGGTGATTTCCCTTGTTATGCTGGAGTTAATGTCAACGCCGTCGACGACGCCGAAAAAGTTGAAACAGATTGAACTTTTTCGGCGTCGAATTTCTTACGGCGTTAAGATTAACTGCTCTCATAGAATTTCATACGATTCAATTTTTTTGACATTTGACGCCGTCGACGACGTCGACATTAACTCCAGCATTAGCATTACAAAATCTTTCGAGTTAATTTTAATGTTAATGTTGCTTGAAAAAAACTATGCAAATAAATTATATGTTCACGGGGAAAAAAAATAACTCATGTATTTTTCATCAATATCAATATCCAGTATTTTCGAAAGCGGGACATTTTTGCTCTCGCTGGGGACAGCGGGACAGATAACCTCAAAGCGGGAAACCAATCATCCATGTACACACAGTCAAATCTACAAGAATCAAAATGGCCTCACTATCCACAAAATCCCGAATCGAAATTATCAACACTACCAAAGTAATTATTAACAGAATTGACATCAACAAATGGGACATCACAACCATCATCAAGACAACCAAACGACTTTAAGGGTCGAAATACATAAAGCACATATTTGGCTGGCTTCTTCGTAGATGGACAAGGGAGTTTTAGGTTGACTTAATTCGATTTTGGCCCCAGGCTTCTTTGTTCGTTTCCGAAGAAGCCAGCAGATGATTTAAGCCGTCCAGATAAGCGCTTTATGTATTTCCACCTTAACGACTTCCATATCTGCACACTACTCATACGGCCAAACGTTTCCTTATAAAATATTCTTCTTTCATTACGCATGGGCGAAAACAGGTGGTAGCAGTAGGTACAAAAGACAACAAATTTTGGAACAATAAATCAAACAACGCCAACTGCTGGTCAACATCATTCGTAAGATACAGAGGACTAAAATCAAAATTACAAACATGGTCTTCCATACCACGCTAGTCAGTCCTACGAATATCCAGAAACTCAATAACCTTCTCTTCGGCATGAACCGGGAGTTCAACCCCTCTAAAAATCAACGCATTTTGAGAAGTACCAGCAAGGAAAAATTCATAACCAACCTGCAAGGAAAAATTCACAATCAAGGCTTCAGAGACCAGCAAAAGTCAAAGACTTACAAACACCATAACTCTCCGAACTCTCCGATATCACGTACCTATAGCATCACCAACGCGGCCAACACTGTCATTACGCTGAACCTTGTACCCCGGAACCCTCAACGACCTCGAAGACACCGCAGGTTTAAGCCAAGATTCAGTCACTGCAAAAACATCAATACCACTACCAACAAGCAGACATTTCAACTCATTAACCTTATGATTATATCTAAACGGTCGCACACTTTGACAATACTAGTGACCATACATAAATTTACCATGGAAGCATGAAGAGACATGCCATAAAATTGAGTATCCCTGATCACAGGTGATGATTTTTGCAATATTTTTCACGGATTTGTCTGAAAATTGGTATTTGTAGATGATAATGGGACCTAGTTCGTGTGGCGAAATATTGTATGTATGGGATATAGCCCCCTTATAACGGTACTTCCCCATTTTTGTTATTTTTACGATTTTTGCTACATTTTTTCACGGATTTGTCTAAAAATTGGTATTTGTCTAAAAATTGATATTTGTTGGTCATAATGGTTTCTGGCTGCGGTTGCTAAACATTCTATGTATAGGTCCACGTTTTGGTATAGCTCCCATATAACGGTACCTCCAGATATTAGGTATTTTGATGATTATTGCCACATTTCTTTGTCTAAAAATTGTCAATACGAAAGTTGAAACGATTCCGGTAAATAGTGTTGCTGAAATTGTCAAAATGCCGACTATCTGGAGGTACCGTTATTTGGGGGCTATACGAGGACGTGGACCTGCATTTAAAATTCTTTTCCTAGGCTGTAGTACCCGTTACGAACTTCAAATACGAAATTCGAAATAATTCCGGAAAATAGTGTCGCTGAAATCATGACAATACCGAATATCGGGAGGTACGGTTATATGGGGGTATACGAAGATCTGAACCTGCATACAATTATTTTCCCATAGGTTGTAGTACCCATTAGGATTTCCCAGTACGAAATTTGAAACGATTCCGCGGAGTAATGTTGCTGAAATCATCAAAATAACGCATATCGGGAGGTACCGTTATATGGGGGCTATGCGAAGATATGGACCTGCATACAATAATTTTTTTCATAGGCTGTAGTACCCATTACGAACTTAAATACGAAATTTTAAATAATTTCGTTAAATCACGAAAATAGCGAATATCGGGATGTACCGTTATGTGGCTAGACGAAAACGTGGACCGACATGGCCCATTTACGAACTTAACTTGCCTACTTGTAAACTATGCATGTATGCAAAATTTTAGCCTTCTATCTCAATTTGTTCCAAAGATAGAAGGCTAAAATTTTGCATACATGCATATATATATATATATATATATATATATATATATATATATATATATATATATATAGATATATAATTTTTGTTATTTCTTTCGTTTTTTTTTTTTTTTTTTTTTTTTTTTTTTTTTTGATTAATATAGTTATAGGCTGTTTTTATTCTGTTGTACGTAAATATAAGATTTTGGCCATGTCAGTCCCCGTTATATGGGGACTATACCAAAACGTGGACCGATATATCAATCATTTATCATTTTCAATACCAACCATCCTAGCCACAATACAAATTGTTTTGCTACATTTTCTACGTCAAATAATGTGGGCTGTATCGTGATTTCAACCGATAGAGGGACATCGTTAAATCGACTTAGAATTTTATGATGGTTATGAATACATATATACCTTATGAGCGTTACGACCAATATTTGAGGATGATACAAACGGAATGACAAAGTTAATATACACTTCTTTCCAAGGTGGAGGGTATACAAATTGTATTTTGGGCAGACCTGCTCAAAACCGTATTCTAGAACATGAGCCGAAAAAAAGAGATAATTTAAGAGAAAATTAAAACTCTGTTTTTTCTTCATATTTTACGATTCATTTAACTGTTTTTAAACATGAATGTTTGCTAAAATAATTTATAAAGCAAACAGATAAAAAATATTGTATAAATAATGACGGAACACAGTTTTGTTCTTGATTTAAATAAGCAAAGAGAAATTTGACTTGAAAGAGATATTTTTTCTTGAGCAGCGCTGATTTAGGGGGCAGCTTTGTTCTACCTTTTGTAGTTATGCCCTGCGAGAGCTCAAGGTGTAAGCACATAAACATAGCTTGAAGTCTTCGCATGGCATATTGTGACATATTATAAAGGTATGCCAGAGCCGTATTAGAATTCTGCCGCCGTGTCCCTTTATAATTTGAAATGAATATGCCTAGCCATGATGCGAAGCTGCTTGTGTACCCTCACCTTAAGTTATCTTGTCTTCTGTAAAAGCAAAGCAAATGGCAACGCTGCTTATGGAAAAATTATCGATAATTTCCGATTGTGAAACTGTTTAGATGAAGGTCAATATGGTAACACCAGGTTAAAAATATTTATTGGCGGCGTGTTTTTGCGATTTGGCATTTATTGTGTTGTAAAAATGGAGGGTAAACTGCTCGCAAAAATATTTTATATACAGCACGTTGAGAAATGTATTTTTTCAGATATCCCTGATGACATGTGGTCTCCTTTTAAGCATCTCTATAGAGTTATAGAGCAGACTGTCATAAATCCAAACGAATCAGCTATTTCAAGTTTGGAAGTGTGTCTTAAGCGCCATAAACAAGTTTTCGTAAATCTCTTGCGAAATCCCGTAAGTATTTCAAGTTAAACGTTTTATTGTTTCATCAATTGAGGTTGTATTTTCAGCCTAAGAATGAAGCAAATAGGTCACAGCTTCGAGCTTGTGCTACTCAAGGTGTTCCTTTTAGTGGAAATAGCAGAGCTTTCCTGTATCTACGGAACTTATTGAAGAAAGTATTATTATATCCGATATGTTTGATTTAGATGAGTTTTGGCACTGGAACTATTGTGCACTGCCCAACATCAAATGGTACATTATCCTGGACTTCCCCGTGGCTTGGTAGCCGTGCTATTATACTATGATGGACGAAAGGCGGTAGCTAATTCTATTCGCGATCTGTTTCAAATAACAAGTGGAGTCTCATGGGTTCCGGAATCTCCAAAAAAATTAGTACAACTGGTTTCATTATTTTCGCAAAACCTAGTAGAGGACTCAAATATATTGGACAGAATCATAGATTTATTGAACGAGTTGGATATTGTTAAAGAGGTATTTATTTTTATGTTATGGTGCCTTCTTTTAAATTTATTTTATTGGAACAACTCTAGTTCAGTAAAAACTTCCATTTTTCGAATTTTTTTCCAGAGGTAGGTATTTTTACCCTGATTCCGGGAAGCTGTTTTTTCTTGGGGTGGACCGGGACCCCAGAGTTTTGACCCGAAAGTCCGTGTTCAAGACCCGGGCTGGACCCGTATGCATTTATCCGATATAGACATTATAGGTTTCGTTCGAAAGCTTATGAAAATGCCTATCCATTATTATAAGTGGTTCGGAAGTTATATATTTGTATCGAGAGCTCATTGTGGGGGTCAACAAAACTTATGCCAAATTATAGCTGACCACTCTTACCTTTCAAAAATGCACCAATTTGTGCTAATACCTTTTTCGGGTCCAGAGATATTCTCTTCTGGGTACGTTCAGCAGGCTACGTAAACTAAAGTTTTTTTTCTAAATTTAAAAGCTGTCGTAAGTAGGCTGCCTTCAGCGCTTGGGATTTTCTTCTCTGGGTATGTCCCACACCGGGTAACGCCAACTAAATAGCTTGCGAAAACACCTATCCATTATTATAGGATGTTCGGAAGTTTTAATCAAATTATCGAGAGCTCAGTAGGGGCTACAAAATGTATGCCAAATTATAGCTGACACTACAATTTATGCTAATACCTTTTTCGGGTCCAGAGATATTCACTTCTGGGTAGGTAAGGTTGAAAGGAGGGGCGAAGCAATTCGCCGCATGCCCTGTTGGGCATACACTTAAGCCAGTATATGCCTGTTGTGCGCTCTAGACTAAGGGTTTTTTGAAGAAGGCGGACAGTTTACAGTCTGCGGACCTCCGCTTGCAGGATCGTATTGTGATCGGGCAAGCGGAAAGAGATTTCGGTATTTGTTTCCTCAATAAAAATCCCAGTCCCGCTGTCTACCCTAGCTTTGAGCCGTCTATATAACAACAGATTCTAGTCGGCATTTGTGGTAGGAATCCGTCGATCCACGAATCTTTGGTAGGGAGGTAAGGTAAGGCAGCTACAAAAGTTTCAGATACCCGGTCCGATACAAAATTTTCTATAGATTCTCCCGGTGTTACCTGTAAAATTGTTTGATGGTATGTAGCGTGGCCTTTGTTTATCCACTCGTCCGTCGCCCTGAGCCTTAAGGCCGCGACGGCCGCTTCATACTGTATATGAATTTCTATTGGGTGCACAAATAGAATTGTCTATAATGCCCTAGTTGGTGTTGTCCCTTATTGCGCGCAAATGCTTAAACAGCACATTCGTTGGACTTTCTGTAGCATTTTGATATTACATTTTTATCCATAGCTGTCCACCAGACTACCGATGCGTATGTTAGAACAGGTCGAATTACGCTTTGAATAGCCAGTGTGTCATCTTGGATTGAAACCCCATTTAGAGCCTATGGCCCTTTTACACGTTGCCCAACATCTATGAGCCTTGTTTGCTCTTCTTGGATTAGGTCCCTCCAATTAAGTTCCTATATAGAATCACACCAAGATAGTTGACCTATTGGAAATGTTGATTGTCTTGTTCATGAAGACCGGTTCAACGAATATGGCCCAGTTTTCTTTTTCTTGAATAGACATATCTCTGTTTTTCAGGGTTAACGTTCGGTCTGGCCCGGTATATGCAAGTCCAGAGCCGATCGGCCATTCTGCACAGCAATTAGGGCTGTTTCCCCTCAGAAGTATTATAAAAACCGCGTCGCGCATAACGACTGGTTCAAAGCCTTCGTTGGTTAAAGTCCTTAGAAGACTGTTAATGGTGTAACCGCAGGAGGGGTGATAATACTCCCTGTGGAGTCTTTGACAACTTTGTCCCTTATGTTAACGTAAGTCAATAGTCCACAGCTTATCCATTTATTCCTTAGCATGTGGTTTATCCAGTCCCTTAGGGCCCGGTCGACCTGAAAATTATCTAAGGATTGGATGAGTGATTATGCGACGTGTTGAACGCACCTTCGACGTCAATGCTACTGCTAGTGTATAAATCATCTTATCGGAGGTACTCTCGATGTGTGTACAACCTCATATAATGCGGTTTCCACTGAACGTCCTTTAACGTATGCATGCTGTTCGTATTTGAGCATATCGTTTGCGATTCTGCTCTTAATCATGGTTTTCGATTGTACGTTCCATGGTTTTGAGTAAGAACGATGTTAGACTTATTCCACGAGTTTCGTTTAGCTGTTCTAACTACACTGTTGTAAGGTCTTCGGACTTCCTTTCCTTTGTTACGAATTTCCCCTGTCACCCAGGTTTTTCGTAGGCAGATTTCCTCTCTCGAAGTGGACCGCATTCCTCGAAAGACTTTACTAGGGTCTCCGTTAAACCTATTGAAGTTACTGCTTACTATGATGGATGATATGGTATGTAGTGTCTCGACTCAGACGTCATCAGTTAACACAGTATATACAATTTTAATACATGCACCGACATTATAAAATATGCCATGTTATCGATTGGATAATTATCTGTGAAGGCCGGGGAGTCTAGAAACAAAGATATGAAAAGTTTCGACTAAATCATTCATTCATCATTCTCGTATTTCAACAAATACAGATCTTATTGAACAGCGGGACAGCGAACGTTTCTTTTTTCGATCGTTCCCAACGCCTCACTTTCTCGCCCCTGCCGACCGAGAGGGCCACCTCCCCATAACGTAGGGAGCACGTACACCACATAGTCCGGATTATAGGGGTTTAGTAGACTTGGGAAACCGGCTACATTAGAACATCAGTCGGTTTAACAATTAAAAAGAATTAAAGTATCTGAACTAAACTACAGTAAAACTAAACAATACAAATACTAAATCACAGAAAGTAAGTCTGGCAACTATTTATAAACTAAGAAAGTAGGATAGAGTTTTTTTATGACATACAAGGGTTCACACAAAGAAATCGTGTTATATAATATTATAATCAGCACATAAACTTCGGAGAGGATTATTTATTTCATAGTTCGATTTTGCTAATGTTAGTTTAAGTGGTATATAATAACGCGTATTTCGCGAGGGGACATTGAATTTTATTTCACCAGTTAAAAACTCAGAATCAATTTGACCACGCAAAAGTTTGATGATAAAAATACATCTAAGCATTAACCTCCTTTTCTCTAGTGTAGGAAGATCGATAAGTTTAAGCCTATTCTCATAAGGTGGGAGAAGTTCATTTGAATTCCATCCTAAGCCTGTCAGACAAACCAAACAAAAAATTGAACCTGTACAGACTCTATCTTTTTTGAATATATTTTATAGAAAGGACTCCAAAGTACGCAGCCATATTCTAACGTAGGTCGAACAAGGCTGATAAATAAGCGTTTGGTCACATAAGGATCGTCGAATTCCTTGACCAACGTTTTTTAAATCCTAGTAAATACTTTGCTTAATTACACAAGACTCAATATGTAAATTAAAACGTAATTTATTGTCTAATATGACCAAGATCAAGAAACGAGTCAACATTATCCATTTGTAAGAACCTATGAAATAGTTGTAGTTCATATGCTGAGATCTATATAAGGACAATTTTTTTTTACATTTTTTTTAAATTTAATGACTTCATTGACACTACACCAATGTGCAAGAGAATACAAGTCCTGTTGCAGATTAGGCGATTCGTGTGAGAATCACGAGTGCAAAAAGTTTTACATCGTCAGCAAACATTAATATTTTTGAGTTGCGAATAATAGATGGAAGGTCATTTAAATAAAATACAAAAAGTAGTGGACCTAAATGGCTACCCTGAGGAACACCAGAAAATACTGTAATATTTTAAAGAGATGTATTATTAAAAGATCCACTCCATTAAGTCAAGTTTATATATTAAAAAATTATGCACCATCGTATCGAAAGCTTTACTGAAATCAGTATATTTAATATCAGTTGAAGATTTTTTGAGAATCCAGTGTGAACATTAGAGACCAGTTCTAATAAATTTGTCAAAGTTGATCTTCCTTTAACAAAACCATGCTGGTGTGGTGATACTATAGATGTAACGAAATGAGTTATCTTTGTGTAACCAAACGCTCAAAAAGTTTGGGAATTGCACTTAGCAAT